CTACATATCCTTCAGGTCATCCTCAAAGAGTATTTTTGCATCATCCTCAAACAGTATTTTTTGCATCATATCTCTTGATAAAATTGGACAACAAATGGTTTGAGATTATAATCTCAGGTAAAAGTTTGGAGCCAAATTTGCTCATTAAACCCTAATTAGGGTGGAGTCCTTCTGGTAGTTTAACTGGTATATCCCAAAGAGAAGCCAATCTACCAACTGCCTCCATCATTTCATTGTACTAAGGACAAAGCCCCACCCATGGGTCAATGCAGCAACTCAAGATAGGGTAAGTGGAAGAAGAAAACGGGAGATGTCCACCAAGAAAAAGCACAATCATTTACATAATTTCCAGAAGCTCCCAGACCAACTATCAATATTAAGTGATACTTTCAAATCTGTTTTCTTGTATGATTCTAAAGGCCACTTAGAATTTTTTTTAAGGAAAAGAACACATTTTTAAGGCCAAAACTGCAGTTGCTGAACTAAAACTGATGATGATGATAAAATTCTGAATAGTGGCATAGACAATGCTAAAAACTGGATTAGTAAATTAGGAGGCAAACATATGGGGGAGAAATGTCAAAGAGATGAAATTGTGAAGAAAAACAGACAAGAGACACGGAAATATGTATTTTTCTAAGCTCTTTAATAGCAGGTTGTAGCAGACTAGCTAGGTATTCACCAAACGTATTTCCTCTTTCTCCTGGTCACACAGATAGACTGTATTTCTAATCCTCGCTTGCAGTGTATGAGCTTCTGCTGATGTAATGTTGGCAGCAGTCACATGTATCACTTACAAGCCTGGTCAATTAAAAAAAAAAATCTCCAGGCATTATTTACTTTTTTCTCTACTGCTGTTAACATTGAAAGCCACATGTTGAAGTGATAGAGCCACAAGTTGGAAGAGTCCTGGATCCCTTCACAGTCACTTAAAGAAGAGCTACCCAACCAGGAACATCCATTTTGGATGTCACATGAGTGAAAAATAAAATTTCTACAGTGAGATTTTAGAGCTTAGCTATTACAACAGGCATCGTTATTTAAAGAAACAGGCACTGGCATTGGAAGAATGGTGTTGCCATAACAAAAAAACCTAAAATAAATGACATCAGTTTAGAGGTCAGGCAGTAGGCCACAAGAATATATATTTAGCAAGTCAAAGGCCTGAAAAGCCCTGTGATATTGTGGCAAAACAACTGGCAAAACTGGAACCTGTAATAAATGAAAAGGCACACCGCATGTCTATTGGGTCTGTAGCTCTATATGTGAATGTAGAGAGAGTTATAGTGTATATTGGCATTTGCTTTCTGCTTTTAGCAAGGTTTTACACAAAAACGATGAGCACAGAATTTCCTACCTTGAAAACTGAAATTACAGGGAATAGCACAAGTCCAGAAACTTGGGCCTCAGAGGGTTAGAAAGCTGAATACACACAGATCCCAAATAGTAAAAGAAAAAGATGGTAAATTTTGAGCAATTAAGTCCAAAGAAGACCTCCTTGAACAAAGTGACTTAATCCGGAGGCAAAAATTAGATTCAGGTATGGTTTTCTTACCCGTTATTTCATATAGCCTCCAAGTAGGGCCTAAGTAAGAAAGAGACATGAGGCAAGGGTTATGCTCCCCCAACTCTACTACCTCCCCAAACAGGGAAAAAGAAAAAAAATCATTCCTGAAAATTATATTTAGAAAAGAACAGTGGGTATGGTATCTAAATAGAACTTATTGGAAAGAGACAGATCAGAGGTGTACTAAGTTTTGAGTTAACTATAATGCCAAAACCCCACAAATCTGGACTAAATAAAACTTTGTTCAGAACCTTAAAACAACCCTTGGGCTCCTAAACTTGTAGAAGCAGAAAGTAAGCACTGAAAGATAGAGATATATAAGTGTAGATGTAGATGTATGTGTATATCTACAGAGAGAGAGAGAAAAATCTTCAAATGAAGGTATATTCCCCAGCACACACTTCAGAAATGTACACAGAAAAAAATAGGGAAAGAAAAACTAAGATGCAGCCAAGAGCCCAGGAGAACAATGGGCAAAGGAGTTCTTTCCACAGAATCAACATCTAAACAAGGAAATTCCCCTACTACTAAGGCAGAAAGATTTCCCAATGATGGCCCAAAAGGATTACATGATTTGCTATGAAGCAGGTAATACTGTACATCTCCTGTTCTTCCCTTTTCTAAATGGAAGTTGTTGTTGTAGCTATTCTGTTTTAGCTTCTCCATGGTATACTGAGGGTAGGAGGGCCACAGGTGCAGATAATCTATCTTAGTTCCTGGTCATCAGCCCACTGAAGAGCCACATCTGGATCTGATGGACAGTACTGAGCATCCCTGGAAGATATCATACTTTGAGATGGATGTAGTAACTAGATGGGATATTGGGTTGTATTCCTTAGGGAAGGGACAAGTATGTTCTATGGATGAGAGGAAGAGTGAACAGATATGGAATTCCCTGATGGCGCAGTGGTTAAGAATCCCCCTGCCACTGCAGGGGACACAGGTTCGAGCCCTGGTCCGGGAAGATCCCACATGCAGCGGAGCAACTAAGCCCGTGTGCCACAACTACTGAGCCTACGAGCCACAACTACTGAGCCTGTGCACCTAGAGCCCGTGCTCTACAACAAGAGAGGCCACCACAACGAGAAGCCCACGCACCGCAACGAAGAGTAGCCCCCACTTGCCACAACTAGAGAAAGCTCATGCGCAGCAACGAAGACCCAACACAGCCATAAATAAATAAATAAATAAATAAATAAATAAATAAATTTATTTATTTATTTATTTATTTAAAAAAAAAAAAAGGAGTGAAGAGGTATTTGATGACCAAAAGGGTAGACTGTGCCAGAGACTAGCTACTATGCACCAAGACTGTGTTCTTCTCTTAGACAGAGTGAGATTATATTCCCCAGCATTCCTTACAGGTTGCTATGGCCATGTTACTAAGTTCTGGCCAGTGAAATCAGAGAAGTGATGATGTGTCACATCCATGCCTAGCCCTTAAAAGCGCTACCACATGCAATACTCTTTGGTCTTTCCCCTTTTGCAGCAATCTTCAAAACCATATTAAAAATGACAGAGCCATATAATGGAAACTTTCCTTAAATCACCATTGCAAAGAAAACCATCACAAATCAGAAACATCATTTTGGGCTTGACATAAGTGAGAAATAAACCAGATCCTCTCCCTCTTTTCTAACATCCATGAATTCAAACAAATATTTACTGAACACCTACTACGTACAAAGTATATGGTAGTTTCTCTCCCTCCTACTTTCCTTACTTTTTAGGTACTACATAAGATTTTTAAATGTGTAAGATACCTTTATTCAATGATCTTATATATACCATAGCATAGGATAGTAATACAAGCAATAAGAGCTATACTTGAGATGAAAAATGCTATAGGAGGAATAAAGGGTTATCAGTTAATTAAAAAGTCCTGAATTCACGAAAGGTTTCTTCACCATTTCTTTAAATGACAAAAATACAGCCAACAGCTAACAGTTTACACATTTTGAGTGCCATAGCAGACAAATTCATCTCAATCTAATCTGAATTCTACTCCAGAATCTGACCTTTACAAGCTGTCTGAACTTGAGCAAATCCCTTCCCTGGCCTAGGCCTTAATTTCTTCAGATAAATAGGGGAGAGACCAGATATCTCACATTAAATGAAATAATAATATTTTTCATGGAATCCTCTCTTTCACCAAAAAGGAAGTAATTTCTCAAGCAAAGGCCTAGGAAAAGCAACTTTGTACTATACTCTTGTCTATTTTGAAAAATTAGTAAAAATTTGTCAACCACAATAAAGACTTGTCTTACAAGATACCTTCATTCCTGTACTCAAAATATACACAGCAAGGCAAAAGTATATTTTCAATGATTAATTTTGTTTCTTCACCACTAAAAAAAAATGACATGATATGATTATTTCCATCAGGGTTTATCATCAACTAGTTTTAAGCTTTCCACTTCATAAAGTATAATAATAAGGAAATTAAAAGAAGAATTGGGAAAAGAATATGTGTATTCCCTTAGGAAAGGGATTTCCAAAGAGGCAGATCTCTTTTGCAGAATCAAAGACATATCTAAAAGATTACCAAGGCTAGCTGAGACCAAAAATATGACCCAAAATATGACCTACTCCCTCATTCCTCACAGAATTAAGAACTACAAATGACTTATTCAAGAACACAGTTGTTTATAGAACCAAAAAACACTTTCCATAAACAGCTGGATCTTCTACTTATTGTTATAGGTTACATCATAAGGTACACTGAGAAATTTTAATAAAAGCAGTGTGACTTAAATTTCAAAAGAGCCAGTAATACTGCAAATTATTACTGTTTTTTATTCATAACGACAAAGTACTTCTGGACGTTCCTTGTGGCTTCCATAACTTAGAGATGAAGATATTGAAAGAAAAAAAATCAAAACACTTTCAACACATTAATTTATAAGCTATACACAAATTCCTTTCTGTGATCATAATTCCCAGCATTTTCCCAAAAGGCCTTTTTTCATTGATACCCATTGATATCAGAAATAACAATTATAGAAATATTCATATATAACATGACATCTTGCTTACATAGTAAATAATCAACCAAAGGTACCTGCAGCACAATTTAGCTCATTAACTAGAAAGAGATCTTTTAAAAATCTTGGGGGGAAAAAAAAATCTTGGGCTTCAAATCATACCCAAAGTCAAGAAAAGTATTCAAAAAACAGAAAAGCCTCTTCAAAGCACCAATATAAACCATCACAATCAATCAGTATGTATTGAATATTCACAGAGCAAAATACACTAGTAAATAATTCATTGCTCTGCTAAGAAAATAAGATATTTTAAAATCATGTGTTCCCATAAAGATGAAGGACTTCCCTAAAATGACAAGAAACAATTAAGACATTTAGCAAAAAGAAATCTGTGTTTAACAGAATACTTGCAAAGTCATTGGCCAACCTATCATAAACCCAAGACCTACTTGCTTCATGGCAGTCTCTCCAATTTTGTCTGAATGTTTGCGGATACTCTCCAGAAAGTCTTTGAGATCAGACATAGAAACATCCTTAATTTCTTCTCGAAGCTTGGGGATATTGTCCACCATCACCTTGCAGAATCGATAATGGCTTACTTGAGGCAGATAGGTATGCTCTAGATGTTCCAGAGTTTTCAGTGCAGGATAATGCCTGTAAAAGAAATTGCATCACCTTTAGCTCAACTCAGTCTTCTTTAGGGCCACAGATATATTCCTCAGGCAAAATTTCTAGCCTGAATTAGTTTTCACTGTACATTAAGACAAATCCAGGATTAAGTTTCAATAAAAACATGAATGGAAAAATTAATGTCAAATTATTAAAAATCAATATATATATTACAGGACTTAATAAATTATAATCAAAAAAAGATTTTTCCCAAGAATACAGAAAACTTTGAAAATCCACCAATGAAACTCATTACATAAAGAATAAAGGCCATTGCTAGGAAAAAATAAATAAAGGGAAATATAAAATGATCATACCAATGCCACAAAAATCATCCTATAAAATAAAGTACCCAAGGATAGACTTCCAACTATGGCACACAGAAGAGCTTAGCAAATCCTCTACCCAAAAAGCAAATATAAACTAGACAAAACTGTCCCAAACAAACCATTTCAAGACTCCGGAAATTGGAAAGGACTCTGCAGAGGAGAACAACAAATTGAGAAGGGTTTATTTAAGAAAACTGCTAAATAGAGAGGGACTTTGTGGTATTCTTGCCTGGGGCTACCTCCATCACCCTCTCCACCTCCCCTCACCCCATCACTGGTTATGGCTTGTCAGGAAAATCAGCAGCTTCTCTTCAGTTAGGGGCTGACATGATTTGGAGCAGAGGGTGAAAATCCTATATGGAGTGGTGTTGTTAGGAAAAGTAGCAAACTCATTTTAAAAAAGGAAGAGACTGGGGGGAACCTCCAGCTCTACTGGCCTGAAGTTCATCTAGGTTAGAACAAAGAACAGACTGGAGGACTAACCAAAAACTTAACAGGGAAGTCCTGGAAATAAGAGACCCATAGAATAACCTGATAGCTCTCTGAATATCCCTAGCTGACTGAGAAGCTGTGCACAAATGCAGGGGACACCTAAAAGGGCCTAGGCACTCCACACATCCTTGGCTGACTAGGAGACTGCAGGCCTGCACATAGGAGAAGGCTTGGCAAAATATAAAAGCTCAGCAGACTTGAAAACTTGCCTGAATTTTGAATGCACTCCCTAACCCACATACAAGTCCACTAACAAAGGGTAGACACCTTTCTCAGCCCAAGTTTCTTTGAGCACCCAGGACCAACCATTAGCTGATGACTAGCCTTTAAAAATGAAAATGAATTATATTCCCAGATAAACAAAGACTAAGAGAATTCCTTGCTAGCAGATCTGCCTTACAAGAAATACTAAAGAAAGCCAGAAAGGAAATGATAGCAGATAGTAACTTGAATTCACAGGGAAAAAAATGAAGAACATAGGAAAGAGTAAATATATGCTAAATATAAAAGACTGAATAAATGTGGGGTTTTTTCTCTTTTCTTCTTTTACCATCAGTAAAAGACAATAGTTTTTAAAGCAATGATTATAACACTGTATTGCTGGGTTTATAAAATATATAGATATAATATAAATGACAATAATAGCACAAAAGAAGAGGGAAGAAATGGAGCTAAGTTGAAGCAAAACTACTTCTATATATTATATCAAAACTACATGAGCAATGACCTAAAGTAGACTGTGACAAATGAAGAAGAAGATTACAATCCACAGAGTAACCTCTAAAAAAAAAAACCTCAAAAAATACAACATTAAAAGGTTTACGGAAGAATTAAAATAGTATACTACATAATATTTAATACAAAAAAGGAGTAAAAGATAAATAGGAATGAAAAACAAAAAAAGTAAAGAGCAAAACCCAACCATATTAATAATTACATTAAATGCAAATGGACTAATAAGCACGCAAATCAAAAGGCAGACACTGGGGCTTCCCTGGTGGTGCAGTGGTTGAGTCCGCCGGCCGATGCAGGGGACACGGGTTCATGCCCCAGTCCGGGAAGATCCCACGTGCCGCGGAGCGGCTGGGCCCGTGAGCCATGGCCGCTGGGCCTGTGCGTCCGGAGCCTGTGCTCCGCAACGGAAGAGGCCACAACAGTGAGAGGCCGCATACCGCAAAAAAATAAAAAAATTAAAAAAACATGTTCAAAAGGCAGACACTGTCAGACAGGATTTAAAAAGCATGATCCAGGGACTTCCCTGGCGTTCCAGCAGTTAAGGCTCCATGCTTCCACCGCAGGGGGGCATGGGTTCAAACCCTGGTCGGGGAACTAAGATCCCGCATGCCACACAGTGTGGCTAAAATAAAATAAAAAATAGGGCTTCGGGCTTCCCTGGTGGCGCAGTGGTTGAAGAGTCCGCCTGCCGATGCAGGGGACGCGGGTTCGTGCCCCGGTCCGGGAAGATCACACATGCCGCAGAGTGGCTGGGCCCGTGAGCCATGGCCGCTGAGCCTGCACACCCGGAGCCTGTGCTCCGCAATGGGAGAGGCCACAACAGTGAGAGGCCCGCGTATTGCAAAAAAAAAAAAAAAAAAATAGGGCTTCCCTGGTGGCGCAGTGGTTGAGAATCTGCCTGCTAATGCAGGGGACACGGGTTCAAACCCTGGTATGGGAGGATCCCACATGCCACGAAGCAACTAGGCCCATGAGCCACAACTACTGAGCCTGCGCGTCTGGAGCCTGTGCTCCGCAACAAGAGAGGCCACGATAGTGAGAGGCCTGCGCACCGCGATAAAGCGTGGCCCCTGCTTGCCACAACTAGAGAAAGCCCTCGCACAGAAACGAAGACCCAACAGAGCAAAAATAAATTAATTAATAAACTCCTATCCCCAACATCTTCAAAAAAATAAGTAAATAATAAAAAGCATGATCCAGGGCTTCCCTGGTGGTGCAGTGGTTGAGAGTCCGCCTGCCGATGCAGGGGACGCAGGTTCGTGCCCCAGTCTGGGAATGGGAAGATCCCACATGCTGCGGAGCGTCTAGGCCTGTGAGCCATGGCCACTGAGCCTGCGCGTCCGGAGCCTGTGCTCTGCAACGGGAGAGGCCATAACAGTGAGAGGCCTGCGTACCACAAAAAAAAAAAAAGCATGATCCAAGTATATGTTGCTTACAAGAAACCCACTTTAGAGTCACAGATACAAACAGACTGAAGTAAAAGCTAGAATAAGATATACCCTAAAAGTAACCATAAAAGTGCTTGAATGGCTATATTAATATCAGACACATTAGATTTTTTTTTTTTTTTTTTTTTTTTTTTTGCGGTACACGGGCCTCTCACTGCTGTGGCCTCTCCTGTTGCGGAGCACAGGCTCCGGACACGCAGGCTCAGCGGCCATGGCTCATGGGCCTAGCCGCTCCGCGGCATGTGGGATCCTCCCGGACCGGGTCACGAACCCGTGTCCCCTGCATCGGCAGGTGGACTCTCAACCACTGAGCCACCAGGGAAGCCCAGACACGTTAGATTTTAAGACAACAAATATTGCTGGAAACACAGAAGGACATTTCATAATAATAATAGGTACAATATTTATCTGATAGGTAGGAAAGCTTCCATAAGCGTAAGAGAACAAATAAAACTAAGATTGATACAGCTGAACAGGTAAAAACAAAAAAAATATACATAAAAAGAGAGTAAGAATAAAGAGGAAACAACAACCTGGCAAAGATTAGTTGCAACATATAAACTTGAGGGATTTTTTTTTAAGCAATGAACAAAGAAAAGCCACAAAAGAGCCCCCAAAAAGGCAAACACGGAAAAAAAAGAAAAAGTTGAACTGATGTGAAGAAATGAAAATAAAAAATATAATTTTGTCACTCAAACTGCCAACGATTTCTTTAAAAATAATGGATATTATTATCAGGGGTTTTAATAAATGAGAATTCACAGCCTGCTGGTAAACATATTTATATTAATGATACACGGTTTTGATGAAAAATTTCACCAAACAAGTATTCCAAACAGTTGCATTCTCCCCCACAAAAAAATTACATGTACAAAAATATGTATAAGCCTCTTGAACTGTAGTTATTTATATTAACAAGTAAAAAACTAATCTAGAAGTCTATTAACAAGGAATTGGTTAAGCGCATTATGATATATCCATGTAGTATATATGTATATGCAAAGAATAATAAAACAGCGAAGTGTTTACAATATTGTTGAGTGAAAATTATTTCAAAAAAATTGAACTTACAAGTATGACCATAATGTTTTTCAAAATTACAAATATTATACATGTGTAAATTATGAATATGTACGTATGTATGAGCTACACAGTACTAAATACAAGCACACACACAAATATAAGTATACAGAAAATGACTAAGAAAATATATACAAAAATGTTAACCATGATTTTTCTTTCGTTTGGATAGAAACATTATGGGTAATAGTTTTCTTCTTCATGTTTTTAATTTCCTAATTTCTACATTTCCCATATTTAGTATAGGAAAAACTCAGTTTTGATCCTGTAAGTAAAAGAGTTATAGTTCTATTTCAGGTTTTAAGAATGAATTCCATGGGAGATACTTAAACTCTTCTTACTCCAATGCACGTAATACCACAAACACTAAAGATTAGAGGTTGGATTTACTTGTTTTCTTTGCTTATGTTTTTCCCTCCTGTGTTCCAAAAATCAAAATCTTAGTCCAAATAAATGAAGGGAAGAAAGATTTATTTCCCCTAAATTAAGAAATAAAATTACAAATATAGTTTAATCTGAAATGGTTGCTTTTATTAAAATTTTACAGACTCACAAACAATACAATTCACATGGTTTAGTATAAACAGAATGGTGTTTATACTACAATTAGGTACGAAGAGCTATGTGCAATAAAATGCATTTCCTCTAGAGAGAAACTTTAGAATGGATATAAACCTAGAAATTAAGCCAAAAAGATAAACACACTTTAGGGTTTAGTTATATTTTGGAACATTGTTTATAGAATGAGAAAAATCTAACAATGTTGCCTGCAGACACAAGGCACATTCACTGATGAGACACATGGCTGCACAGTGAAAACATCTGGTCTGTCAAATAACTCCACATTTTTCAAGGCTAATTAGTACAAAACCCAGTGATTTCTGGCAATAAAGAATGTTAC